TTTTTATTGCCTTAAGAATCTTAGCAATCATGTTCAGTCCATAGTCTACTTTCAACATGCATCTCCCCTCCTGGGAGGATCCTCCAAACACCCTTAATTTGGTGCTCCCAAATGGGCACTGGTGGATGGATGGGTATTTGATCATTGTATAATCGAAACCCATGCACAAAAATTTGTATATCTACAAATGTACCTCATGGTGTTTCACTAATAAGAATTAAAAAAAAGAATCTTAGCATACACCATTTCTTTTGAAGTGCAGAAGCTTCTTAGGTTGTTGTAGTCCCATTTGTTTATGTTTGCTTCCACTTGCATGGTCAGTGCTGTTTAATCCTTAAAGATGTTTTTAGTTTCAATGTCGTGGAGAGTTTTGCTTACATTTTCCTCTATGTACCTTATGGATTCATGTCTGATATTGAGGTCTTTAATCCACTTTGACCTGACTTCTGTGCCTGGCATTAGACAGAGGTCAGAGTTCATTTTTTTGCAGGTAGCTATCCAGTTTTCCCAGCACCACTTGTTGAAGAGGCCTTGCTTGTTCCACTTCACATTTCTTGTTCCTTTGTCAAAGATTGAGTGGTCATATATTTGGGGGTCTGTGACAGAATATTTAACTGTGTTCCATTGGTCTGCTGGTCTGTTTCTAGCCCAGTACCATGCTGTCTTATTTACTACTGCTTTGTAGTACAGTTTGAAGTTGGGGAGGGTGATGTCACCCATCTTCTTTTCCCCAAGGATTGCTTTAACTATTCTTGGGGGTTTATTGTTCCATATGAATTTCAGAAGTGTTTTGTCTATTTATTTTAAAAATGTTATGGGTATCCTGATAGGGACCGCATTTAATTTGTATAGTGCTTCGGGCAGTATTGCCATTTTGATAATGCTAATCCTCCCTATCCATGAGCAGGGGATGTTTCTCCATTTCCTAGTGTCCTCTTTTATTTCTTGAAGTACTGCTTTGTAATTTTCCTTGTATAGGTCCTTCACCTCTTTGGTTAAGCTGATTCTGAGGTACTTGATTTTCTGAGGTACTATTATGAATGGGATTTTTTTAAAATGTCTATTTCTTCTCTTTCGTTATTTGTATATAAGAAAGCCATGGACTTCCAGGTATTGATTTTGTAGCCTGCCACTTTACTAAACAGACAGAATATTTACCCAACACCCATCTGATAAGGATTAATATCCAGGATATACAAGGACTGGTAGAATTTTCAAAGAAAAAACCCTCCAACCCCATCAAAAAATGGGGAGAAGAAATGAACAGAAGTTTCCTCAAAAAAGAAATACAAATGGCCAAGAGGCACATGAAAAACTGCTCCACATCTGTAGCCATCAGGGAGATGCAATTCAAAACAAAAATGAGATATCATCTCATACCACAGAGACTGGCACACATTTAAAAGAACAAAAGAAACCAGTGCTGATGTGGATATGGGGGAAAAGGGACACTCTTTCACTATTGGTGGGAATGCCGACTAGTCCAGCCTTTCTGGAAAACAATATGGACAGTCCTTCAAAAACTAGAAATTGAGCTTCCATATGAGCCCACAATACCACTTCTGGGAATATATCCCGAGGATGCAAAAAAGCACAGCAGAAATGGCATCTGTACCTATATGTTCATTGCAGCACTGTTCACAATAGCCAAAATTTGGAAAGAACCCAAGTGCCCTAGAACAGATGACTGGTTAAAGAAACTTTGGTTCATCTACACAATGGAATACTATGCAGCTGTCAGGAGAGATGAATTCATGAACTTTGCTTATAAATAGATAGACATGGAGAGTATCATGCTAAGTGAAATGAGTCAGAAAGAGAGGGACAGACATAGAAGGACTGCTCTCATTTGTGGAGTATAAAATAACATAACATGAGGCTGACATCTAAGGATAGTAGATACACAGGGCAGATACATTGCTCCATAGCTGGAAGGTTGCCCCATGAACAAAGGGGAGAAGGCAGCTGGAATAGAGAAGGGATCACTAAGAAATAAATGGCTGGAGGAATCAGTAGGGATGGGAGATGTGTAGAGAAAGTAGATAAAGGACCAAACATGATAACCTCTTAGGGTCTATATTGCAAACCATAATGTCCAAAAGTAGAGAGAGATTATGGGGAATCATGTCTGCCATGGAGGCAGGGGGAGGGTGGCAAAGGGGGGTATATTGGGTATATTCATGGTAGGGAGTGTGCACTGGTGGTGGGATGGGTGTTTGATCATTGTGTGATTGTAACCCAAATATGAAAGCTTGTAACTATCTCACAGTGATTCAATAAAATTGAAAAAAAGGAAGCTTAGCATACAAAGATTATGATCATTCCACTCAGAAAACCATTGATTTTTTATTATTTATGAAGATGATGCATATTCCTGACTTGACACTATATATATGCACATATTTTGAAATAACAAAAGATGCCAGAGAGTTAGTACAGTGGGTAGGGCATTTGCCTTGCATGAACCTGACCCAGGTTCAATTCCTGGCACCCCATATGGTCCCTTAAGCACAGCCAGGAATGATCCCTGATCTCAGAGCAGGGAGTAAGCCCTGAGAACAGCCAGGTGTGATCTCCCCAAAAATAATAAAAAATAACAAAAGTGACCAGATAGACACTACTATGGCTATGGTGCTTGCTTTGCATGCTGCCAACCCAGGTTCAAATCTAATCACCCCATATGGTACATTGAGCCCCACATTCTTCACACACAGCATTAACTGTTGTTGCTGTCATTGTTATTGTTTCTTTGGGTCATCCTCAGTGGTGCTCAGGAGCTATACCCAGCGTTGTTCTCCCAGCTATGCAGGAATGGAACCTAGGCCTTTGAGCTCTTTTCCCAGTCCAGCATTTGCCTTTCTATGGAAAACAAATTTAATGTATTAGAAAATGTGTATGCCAGTCAGATGCCAAGAATTTCAAAGATAAGAGGTGATCAAAAGATCAAAAATGTGCTTTGTAGTTTTGTCTAGATTCTTAGATAAAACAAGTTGTTACATCTACACTCATGAACTTTTCAGTTCCTCTAGAAATTTCAAACATTCCGTGGTTATCCACATGCTTGTGAAAACAACAATGCCTTTGTGAAACTGACTTTCATGGTAACCCGGAAGTTTTACCTGCTCATTGGTGTGTGGATTCTGGGAGCATTGTTTATTGAAGTGTAGAATGTATCATATTCAAATGTGTCCATCACTTACAGAGTTTCCCTGATCATAGTGTGAAATGGGTGTTTTTGAGGTAACCTAAAATTAAACAGTTCTTGTTTTTTTTCTGGGGTGAGTTGCAGTTTGAGTTTATGTCTTCTGGACTGAAGAGATAGTACAGCTGGTAGGGCACTCGCCTATGGCTAACCCAAGTCCAATACCTGGCAACACCAAGCACTGTAAGGAATAATCCCTGAACACAGTACCAGGAATAATCACTGAATACCACCAAGTGCCCCCCACCAAAAACCATCACTCTTTTAGGCCATGTATGTTTCTCAGTGGAAGGCTATTGTGAGGTTCTGAGTTTTGCCACTGGCTCTACAAAGAATATAGCACTGTAGCACTGTCCTCCCGTTGTTCATCTATTTGCTCAACCGGGCACCATTGTGAGACCTGTTGTTACTGAGTTTGGCATATCAAATACACCACAGGGAGCTTTCCAGGCTCTTCCATGTATGGGCGGGATTCTCTCGGTAGCTTACCAGACTCTCAGAAAGGAATTGAGGAATTGAACTGGGTTGGAGCATGCAAGGCAAACACCCTACCCACTGTGCTGTTGCTCCAGCCCAACTCCCTTAATAATACTTCCCCATTTTAAGTATTTAGTAAACACATGTGGATAGTAGCTATCCTGGTTGGCAAATGTTTCAATGAGCAATTTCAGGAATAATTCCTAAGGACAGAACAAGGAGAAACACTTGAGCATTGCTGGGTGTAACTCCAAAGCCCAAAAACAAAATAAACAAAAATAATATTTCCATTCTTTTGAATATTACTGTTGAGTATGTATTTACCATAATATATTCCCCAGCCTGTATTCCAATATTGTACAACAAATATTTGTTTGAATGCTGTGAGATGTAAACACATACTATTCTAAAAAATAGCCTGATATAGAATAACTTATTGCTTCAAACTCAAAACAAAGCTTTGTGTATTGCTGTTTTTAAATCACAAATCTTCTACTCTTAATGTACATTAAATGTGTTGTGTTTGCTTTTTTCTATGCACAGTTGTTTTCTGGGACATACAACATATATTGGTAGAGCTACATTATTTTAATGACTATAGTATTCTGTTATACTGCATCAGGGTTAAATGCATAGCTATGTAGAGACATTATTAAAGAGATCAATAATATTGAAGTCTTTTTTTGTTTAGTTGAATAATTTTATGTTCAAGAGTTAACTCTAGTAGGACAAATGAGCATAAATTCAGAAATAGCTAGGAAAGTAAAATGTTATTCTTTGTATTTTCACAATTTTAGAGAGAAAATCTAACCCTTGATTTTAAACATAAAATTACTTTTGTTCCTTTGCCAAATTATCTGTGGCAGTATTCTTTTCCCTCCATATATGCTCACTAGATTTCTTCTCTTTGTTTTGTAATGTGCAGTACTTACTTAGCAGCAGCAAATTCAGTGGTGTGTATTTAAACTACAAATAATGACCTGACACTTTCTCCCTTTATTGTTCGACTCACTTTGTTGATTCTGTTTTGTTTCTTTGCCATCTTAGAATGCATTTGACGTTAACATGAAAACAAAAGCAGTTCAGGATTGAGATCTTACTATTAGAAATAGAAGCAGTTCAGTATGGAAATCGTTTTGTAATTCCCTTGCCATTTTCATAGGTCTGGTGCCAAGATACTTGAAAAAAAAATCTTTAGATTCATCGGATAAGCTGACAGAGTGAAATATCTTAAGGCTTTAAAGGGCAAGTAGAAGTTATAATTACTGTGTAGCTTCACAATCCTTGCATTGAAATACTCACCTTTGCTATCACGCTGCAGGCCATAGAACGAGAAAAAGCCGAGAAGTTCAGAAGACTGCAAGATGCCAGCAGATCAGCACAGGCCCTGGTGGAACAGATGGTGAATGGTAATTACACGGAGTTGATTTAGATAATCTTCCTAGGGATTTGATAAACACATAGGTTCATATCTATCAGCTGAATTCTATCAGTCACTTTCTGAATGCAAATGTAAATTTACGTGAGTGTGTGAGTATTTTGCCATTCTTCATTAAGGTCAGACACATTATTAGGGAAAAAAGTCAACTTTGGCTTCCCTGGCATGAGATGAGATGTGGTTGAATATTTTATCAATCTTTCACAGAGAAATAAATTTTAATGCAACTCCTGCTAGCATTTGTGCAAATCATTACCAAGATTTGCAGAAATAATTGGAAATATAAGCAATCATATAATATATGTAAAGTGATTATAATCTGATTTTAAATAATTCTTGCAATCGATTTTTTTCTCCAATCTGTTGAATTATGTGGAAGTCTTCATCAACATACCAGTTAGCTCAGAACACATTTGGCAATTTCATATTGCTTTTTATTATTTCCCTCCTTCTCAAAGCTGTTTCCTTAGAAGAACTTTCATTTTTAAATTTCAAATTATGCAGAGAATATAAAGCACAAAGTGAGCAGAACTTCTTTTTTAACAATAGTGTAAAATTACCTTATGCTAACTTAGTGCCACCAAGCTGTTTGAACAAAAATTTATTTTTTGACATCAATTGTAAACATACTTTTGTAAAATTGCCGTTCTTACGCTGTGTTTATTTTCAGATTTAACTGATTCATGGAAATTAGGGATAGTGATTTATAAACAAGATTTTGTTCAAAGGATATATTTACAAGAATATGATAACCAAATGTCACAAATGCTTATTGCTCTGTGTGCCATTTTTCAGCAAATTCTGGAGTGTTAATTCCATGCATGAATTGCTTTTCCCTTAATTGTCAGGTAGGCCTTAAACCCTTATATGATCTTCCTAGGAATTCAATTCATTTTCTCCTTCTAATGAGGCCCACAACTGTACTTGGCCAAGGATTGAAAACGATCAAATAATGACAGTTGAGGGTTGGATTAGCAAGTTAATGAGTGTATAGGCAGTGCATATTTTAAAAGGTTGTTGCTAAAACATCTAAAAGGATGAATGCTGCTGGTTAGTTAATTGAGAAGTTTGAGCACAGCATATTCATGGATAATTAAATGATATGACCTAAAGATGATGTTGTAGCTGTTATATACCCCCAGTAACTGCATTATGACTATTTGGTTTTAATAAGCTGATGTCAACTATTGAGCATATCTTACCTTATGTGATCCTCTTAGGGTTGCAGGCACTGAATTATTCAAAAACCGTTAAAATATAGAAATGAAGGAAAAGATTCTTGGAGGGGAATTAAAACTATATACATGGTTAAAATGAGCTAATGATTTGTGCTAATAGTATCTTCTAGATTAATGATCTCACAGCTCTAACTTCTTAGGACATAATGAAAACCAGGACACAAATAGGCGACTAATAACTATTGACTGGCAATATTCTCCTTAGCAAAGCAAAATTAAGATTATACTAAAGATATTATGGGTCAGAAAATAATAATGCTTCTGAAAAGATGTTAATTTAGGCGACCGGAGAGAAAGCACCAGGATTCAGGTACTGCCCTTGCACACAGCAAACCCTGATTCAAATCCTCATTACAGCCTATGGTCTCTAGGGCACAGTCAGGAATAAACCCTGAGCACAGAGTCAAGAGTAATTCCTGAAACACACATGCATGTGCGTGCACACACACACATACACACACACACACACACACATACTCTCAAACACACACAGAGTTAGAAATTTTTTTGGAAGCAAAAAAAATCAGTAAGAGGTAAAGACTAGGGACAAAATTTTAGACATTTCTCATTGGGTAATGGTATTGATCAAATTTCACACTTTCCATTAGTTATGCCACTGAAGATATGGTGATCAAATATGAGATGAGGCTCAAATTTGGGCTTTCACTTGATCATAAGTCTGATTCATACAACTTACTTAATGACTTATAAGTAGCCTGAAATATCCCCACTTCACTCTTTCTTTGTCTTTCCCTGAAGAGTATTTATCGGATATGATTGTGAGAATTGAGTTGAATCTGATACACAGTTAAATCCCGGGAGTACCTCTTTAGATATATTTCAGTGGACAGTCCCCCCAACATTAACTTATACTAGCTTCTCTGGCATAAAACCCAAAGGTACAGTTTACTGGTGGAACTCGTGAAGAAGAAAGACAAATTAAAGTTTTCTCCTATCTATTCCCAACAACTGTAGATTTAAGTTATCCTAGTGAAACTCCTAAATTTACAAGCCCCAGCACCTCTTTCTAGGGCTGGCAATGTGGAATTGTCATAAGGCCTTTCACCACATGGATCACACATACATGCTTGTCTTTTCATTCATAGAAATATGAGAACTGAATCATGGTACTTCCTTTAGAACATCACAAGACAACAATTCCTTTTAACTACATGTCTTCACCTTAAAAATCAGGATTCATTTTTTTTGGAAGAAAAGGGTTAGCAACTTATTGTTGATTTCCAATTTTGTGAAATGTTAGGAGTTTAGCTTTATTATTCTATGTGTGTGCAGGTGTCGCCACCTACACAATAATTTAAGAACCAATGATTACTCTCAAATGGGATATATAAAAACAGATTAAAGAAACAAGTATTGGCTAAAGTCCTCACCACTGGAGATTTTGCCTATGAACTGAACTTTCATGGGGGTTTGGAGTGACTAGTAGGGGCCCTCGGAATACCGGTGGTTGGAGCTGATACTATGGTGATGGGTTCAGTGCTGAAATTATATATACATGAATGATGTGTTAAAAGTATAATTAACAGTATTGTGTATACTGGTACCACAATAAAAAATGGTAACGAAAAAAATTAGCCTAAGGGGCCAGAGAGATATTTCAGGAAGTCAGGAACTTTAGGGCAGGGACATTTATATTTGGCACTTTGGTATCATTTTGAATCAGTGTATCAATTAATTTCCATTTTAAACTTACATTCAATTAATTTGCATATTCCCATGTGAACATCAGTTTATTGGTAAAATTTTGGGAGCTTTTGATCAGAGCATTTAATGATAGAGTGAATTCACTACTGGATAAACTTTTCATAATTAAGATCCTATGATACTTACTGTCAATATCTATTTTCAGGATTATCATCTTATTCTTCAAATTCTTAACATCCATGAAGTTTAATGAGCATAAGTGGATACTTGACTGGAAAACTAATGACCTAATGATGCTTCTTGTAGCTGCTATGTAAATAGGGAACTTCCATAAATTTATTTTGGGGGGGGGTGGGAGATGGGGACCACACCCAGTGGTACTCAGTGGCGTTTCCTGGTGGTGCTCAGGGGAACATATGCAGTGTTTGATTGATCTGGGCTCAGCCATATATGTGGTAAATGCCTTAATCCCACTACTGTCTCTCCATCCCACTTTTATTCATTTAAAAAGATACAGTCTCAGAGACCTTTATTTTTCTATAAACATAAACATCTGTTGACAATTAGACTTTTGCTTTTGAAAAACACAATTCTATTTAATAGTTTTTTTTAAAGAACTGTGATTTACAAAGTTATCGATAGCTGAGTTTTAGGAGTATAGCATTTCAACACCAATCTCACACCAGTGTCAACTTCCCTCCACCAGTGTTCCCATATTCCCTCCCCACACACCAGCCCTACCCCATCTCCACCTGTCAACTTGTTAGGCAATTACAAAGTTTCGGTGGTTGCCACGTAGATCTCATGTTTTCAGTTTATTTGAGTGTTTTTTTGGATATAAGGCTTCACACATATCACCAGGATAACTGAAACCTTGATGCCTGCTCACCCATTACTTCCCATTGTCTCTTCCCTCCTTGATTTCTCTCCTTCTCTGCCCTTCATTCTAAACACTATGGTCAATTCTTGTGTTAGTATATAGTGCCCTTATCAGTTATAAAAATGATTCTAGATAAGTTGATTGCATTTGTTATTATTGAAGTTACCAAAACACTTATTATAAAAACACTTATAAAGATTTCACCGAAAAACATATATAAGCATAGCTCAATTTTCCTATAGAATTGTTTCAGAACAATTTCCAGAGAAGGTAGTATAACATAATTATCTAATAGTGTTAATGTTTCCTGCATTAAGCTGAGCTTCACTTTCAATTTCTAAATGTCCTTTTTTGTATGTTAATTAAAAGTCTGACTACAGTAATATTAAGGCATGTTTAAAGGCAGTAATTATTAGTATATTTTTCTAAAAGAACATCCCAAAATCATCACCCCCTGAGTGTTGGATTATAGTATTTAAGGTAAAACCTAATAATGAGTCTGCTATGGTTGATAATTAAATAGCACAGACTGATAACACAAACAGGGGATTCTCTTATCTACCTTAACTATTTTTAGTCCATTGGTTTAGAGCTCATTTCTGTAAGACCACGTAAATGATATCATTTGAGTGTGGCCAACAAACATGTACTTGGTGGGCCATGGCACGTATTATTATCAGTTTGGTCTACCTCAAAGCCAAGCTCTAATAATCTTCTGTTTATGTGATTACTATAAAGAATTTTAAAAGCCATAAGTGTTCTATTTCTATTTTGTAATGGAAGAGGTTTTGGAACAGGTCTTTAAACCCGTGGGGCCTGCAAATCATGCTGTTTGGGTTGATCCCTCTATCATAAATGAGTCACTTGCCAGAATTACACCAATTCACTCATTTATTCTTCCCTCAGTTTAGGACACTTTGATTTATGTCTTCTTTTTTTCTAACCTGGCACTTGCAATAATGGTCTACACAGAGTTCACATACATAAATGCTTTTAATTGACAGGCAATTTTTCTTTGTTTAATCCCCAGAGGAAAAGACTTGGTAGACTTGGTGGTGGGGGTGAGTGGTGTGTGTATGTGCGTTTGTGTGTGTGTACACCTTTAGGAAGTTCTCATGATCACTGCTATGAGAGACAATTAGTTATAAAGCAAATATGAGTAGGAATCACTTTTTCTCTCACAACTCCATGTTTAGAAATGTTTAAAAGAGCTATAATATAAATTTATGTACTTTATTCACTACAAGGGTGACTTCTATATAGTCCTATTAATATTTGAAAGTAATTTAAAAAACATTTTCTAACAGTTGTATAAAAGTTAGTGCAATCAAATAAGGCCCTGGAAATTAATCAGAAGTACATGGACCTTCACGGACTCTGAACAAATGTCCATTATATTTTAGTCTCATTTTCAATGTCGAATGGACTTGTAATGACCCTCACTTAATGTTCAAGAAATATAAGGGACTATTTATTAGCAACATTATTTCAAGCTTTTATTCTAAATTGTCTTCTAATTCAAGAGCTCTGAAAACACAGGTTTTGCATTATTCTATCCTGGCTTCATGGGTAATGATGAATATACTTGATGAGGAATACTTCACTTTAAGTGGCAGTTCTGAAGTACTTGCATGGAAGGTGGTGCACAATTAAAATTATTCTAACAGTCTGTTATGCACTGTACACAAGTAATAAAATTAATGGATGCACTTCAAGTAATGATCCATTTCCTCTGGGTGCAATATATTTATTCATAGACTATTTCAGGGGTTGTTTAGAATATGAGATGTGAATGGATTATGATCCATTATCCCTGAGATTCTAATATGCTACCACAAAATGGTTTCCGTCACTATTGTTCATAATATCTGGTGAGTTAGTATTTGTTTTCTTAAGTAGCTAACAAAAAAATTAGAAAAGCGAGTGCTGGAATGATTAGTTTGTAAAACTTTGCAGCTATTTTCACACTCTAGTATCATAAACTTTAATCATTTTGATTAAAAAGCCCTATTAAATACATAAACATACATTACATATAGTAGTAAAAATTAGTCTTACATAAGTTTATACTTGATAAGCACTTATTACCTCTGCATATTCTGCAAAAGTTTTAAGGGGTTGGTCCAAAGAAATAGTCCAGGCATTTGCCTTCCTGAGTCTGATTGAATCCATGATACTGCAAGCATGCCCCAAATATCTGAGTTTCTTGTATGGCCTCATCTTTTTATTATATATTTACTGAAATTTTTGGTTGTCTGCTATTTGTCAAACTTCCTGTGATTGTTTCACACATATTAACTCAGACCATGCATAGATATCCTATGAGGTCAATTCTATTTCATCCACGTTTCATGGGTGAGAAAATGGGACCCAATGTCACTTTGTTCAATAATGAAACCCAGTTTACCAGGTGATAAGAAGGTCACATTTGAACTCCAGTCTGACTAATATAATAATTCTTTTTATGAATTTCTATGACCTTCTCACCACATTACCATTTATACTTCTTTAATACATTATTTTAATTGCCTTTATTCAATTTAAAATCGTGGTGCTAGTATGTTGAGGGTATTATAGAGTTCATAGTAGATTTATACAGAATTAACTTTTCTCACTTAATTCCTTTAATAGTGATATTATAGGCACATTTTGTGGCACACATATTGATTTGATAGTTTCGGTAATGATCAACACAGATATATTAAAACCTACCTCTAGAAGAATTGCCATAAAATTAGTCATATTTTAATTCTTTTGATTATATTACATACTATTTATAGTTAAGGTTTGTTTTTTTGTTTGTTTGTTTTGGGCTACACATGGAGGTGCTCAGTATTTACTCCTGGCTCTGTGCCCAGGAATGATTCTTTGTAGGCTTGGGGGACCATATGTGGTGCCAGGTATCAAACCCATGTGTGCCACATTCAAGGCAAATGCCCTCCCTGCTGTCCTATTGCTCAGATCCCTAGAATTTTAGTTCTTATACTGCTACCGGGCCTCTATAAAGTTTACTTCTTTTAAAGGATAAAGAGGTATTAATATGCTTCATTACTATTTATACAAATGTTAAATGAGACTAAACCCAGCCTCTCTGTCATTTGTCTGTCTTGAACTTGGGCTACTATCGATCGGCCTTCTTTATCCAAGTACTTATTCAAGTTGAACATATTAACCTACAATTTGTTCTCCTAAACATCTGGTTATTTCGATCCATGACACATTTTTGAGTCCATTTATCAGTTTATGATTTCTTCTTTTATCATTTTATTTTATTCGTTTCATTTGTGTCACACACAGCAGTGATCAGGTTTCAATCTCTGGCTGGCTCTGCACTCAGCAGTCATTCCTGGCTGGCTCAGGGGACCGTATGAGGTACAAAGTTTTGAACCTGAGTCAACTGCATGCAAGGGCATTGTTCTTTCAGCTATACTATCTCTCTGGCCAAATCTCGGTGTAATTTTAAGGGTTTCCGAGCATTTTTTCATATTTGTTTGTTAAACTGAGTGCCCATTTGACTGAAGTTTTGGATCCTAACACTGTATGACAAATATTACCATTTCACAACTATAGTTACTAAGTGGCATCTGTCCTCAAACATTTTTCTGTAACTCTTGGACACTGTTTGGTCACTTGGTGATAATTTGATTTTGAATTATCACATACAGTCTATTATACAACATGTCCAGGTATATAAAAAATACCTGTTGCTTCCTAACTTTTAGGTGCTTATTAGAAGAACATTTTTTAAGCAATATAAGAATCATATGGTGGCGGGGGGGTGGTGTTCACAGCAGGGTGCTCAGGGTTTACTCTTGGGTCTGTGATCAGGGGACAGTCCTGGCAGTGCTCAGGGAAATGACAGCTGGCAGTGCTCAGGGGATCAAATGGGGTCCCAGAGATTGAATTCCGGTCAGCCATATGCAAGGCAAATGCACTAAACACTGTACCATTACTCCTGCCCCTAAAAGAAATTATTCCCCCTGCAAACCATAGGAAAAGGAAAATGAGACTATTTGAGCAGAGGAAAGTGAAAGGGCCAAGCTATTAAAACTATGTTCAGATTCAGAGTTTCAGGGCTGTTACTTTAAATACTGACAAACAGTATATTAATAAGTCAATATATTATTTAATCTATACTAACGGGCCTAGTATATATTTTGTCATACAAAAGAGGCACTCCATAAGGCTACAGGCAGTAACGATGTGCTTCTTTCCATTTTGGCCTTGATTGATTTTTTCCATCTGTACATTTCTTATAGTTATCCATCTGCACTTATAGTTAAGCATTATTTTAAAATTTGACTCAGCTTTCAGATTTTTAAATGTAAACCTTGTTTCGTAATAGAAGGATTTTATTTTTGTAATTTCAGTTCCTTGTACACAGGAACAATCTGCTTATTTCTGGCTTTCTACAACAGAAACACAGAATTAATTATTTTTTTTAAATTCCCACTTTTTTCCATCAAACTCCATCCAACTGTTAACATTTGAACTACTTCTCAATTGCACTACAAAAAACAAAGTGTATGTTGGGGCCAGAGAGATGGTCCAGCAGGTAGGATGCTTGCCTTGCACATGGCTAACCTGAATTCAACTCCCTGGCATACCATATGGTCCCTTGAGCATTGCCAGAAGTAATTTCTGAGAGCAGAGCCAGGAGTAACCCCTGAGTATTACTGGTTGTGGCCCAAGACAAATTAAAAATAAAATGCATTTAAGTTCGCTTAAGAGATATACTTTTATATCTTTTATATACACGATGCTTTTATATACTTTTATATACATGATACTTCAAATTTGTTTGGGGCATATAAGTATATTTGTTCATGCTCACTCCTTCACCATTAATCAGTAATATGTTCTTCCACATCTCATAGCATGTATTCTTATTAGAATAAACATTTTGATAAGATAAATAATTTGTATTTAATAACCAGAAATCAAGTTGGTGCTTTTACTTTAAGCAAAAGAAGGTTTGTTTGAAATCATTCATGTGGTGAATACTTTTAAACTTCACATAATGTCTTAAAAGATATTTCAGTCTCTGGCTTGAGTGGATATATTAAAACCAATCTTTCTTTCTAGAGGGTGTTAACGCTGACAGCATCAAACAAGCCTCAGAACAACTGAACAACCGGTGGATCGAGTTCTGCCAATTGCTAAGTGAGAGACTTAACTGGCTGGAGTATCAGAACAACATCATCACTTTCTATAATCAGCTACAACAATTGGAGCAGATGACAACTACTGCTGAAAACTGGTTGAAAACCCAGCCCACCTCCACATCAGATCCAACAGCAATTAAAAGCCAGTTAAAGATTTGTAAGGTCAGAATCTTTCTCCTCTTTAAAACATGAGCAATAGGAATTACTTGGCAATTTCTAGAGGAAGAATGACAATCTAATAATAACATTTTCCTTTACGTACTTATGCACAGTAAAAAAATCAAGAATGAAGCCAGAAAATCAGTTTTAATAGGTAATCTATGAATTTTCAAATCCTGAAATAAAACAAGAAACATTTAGAGTAGTTACATATGGATAATGGATTTTGTTTGCAGAATGTAGAGGCAGTTTCAGAGTATGGAAACCACATCATTCATATGAAATCTGACCAATTATTTAGACTTCTTTCAAATGGAAGCTCATGTATTCATAGTAAAACCAATTCATATGTTGAAAAGTTGAACCTACATAAGTACAAAAGCTGATATATTATAAAATCTGATAGATGGTCTCTGAAGCTGACGGCCAACTCAAATCGAGTTGAGGATGGTTTATTTACCAAGAAAGAGTTTATAAATAGAAGAACCAGAGGAGATCGTGCAGTAACCCAGCATTAGAGCTATTACCAACCATTTTAGGACAGAAATGATGTGGAAGGGGGAGGTTTGGGAATTCTCAAGAGAGCCTGACAGATGCCCATTGGAAAGGCAACCGGAAGAGACAGCCCAGGACAACATTCCCAGAATAGAGCCTGAAAAACAGAACCCCTACTTCATTCTTCTCTTTGCCTCCAGAATCAGAATTAATCCCCAGTGACTAAACTTAATCAGAAGGCAGAGGGCAGGAAGCTGTGGTCTATAATTGTTATTCTCCTGGGTCATAGGGAGGATGGCTCAGGAATCTGGAGAGATGAGCACGATATAAGCAGCTCAAAAGGACCTAAGAAAATAGATTGTGATTAGTGTTAGAAAATAAAAAATATATACTTGTGTCAATAATTGGAGTGTTTGACTTAGTCATGTTGAACTACACCCTCTTCATGGGAACTGAGACTGATTATAGGTCTGATTATAGGACTGATGTGAAAGATGCCTGGGTGTACAGTCCTTTCAGAGCCTTAGTGACTGAATGGACCTTCATTGTTTTGGGGGGATGGGGGTGAGCGACTCTCAAGTGATACTCAGAAGGACTAGGGGCCCCAGCAATGATTCTTGGTCATTGCCTCTCAGTTCAGTGTGAGAGCCCAAGGATGTAATCTTGCTTGGGCCCTGTAGAGCTGGGCCCCCTAAGTCCATTCCAGCAGTGATGGGGGCCAACAGACCCAGGCCTGTTGATTCTCACAGGCTTCAGGACTGCATGTGATGCTGAAAATTGATGCACATCAGGTGCATGCTAGGCATGCATCCCTAATGTTGTATTATCTCCAGGACCCTAATCTGCAGCTTTTGCAAGGAATGCTGAAAGTGATGGGATATTGAAGATGAAAGGTGACAGGCTTGGCTTGCAAATGACAAAGAAGAAAGTAATTTTGGACGGAGTGAAGCATAGAAAGATATAGCGATTCTTTATATATTACAGCTTGACTAGAAAATAAATAGCAATCAAATATATTTCTGGATAAAATGAAATGGTAAAGTATTTATTTTATAACAACTATGTTGATGTAGGCAGTTTCTATATTTAGGCACATGTTTTTCGTCAAGGAGAGAATCTGGGCTGGAGACATAGCACAGAGGTTAAGGCACATTGCGAGAGACCAGCCAGATTCAATCCCTGGCATCACACCTGTACTTTTCCAGGTGCGGCCCCAAAATCAAAATAAAGAAAAATAGGAAATAGAATAGAATGCTTAGTTTTTTCTCCCAGCACCCCTTCCCACCCCACCCCAGAAACAGTTGATTATTGTACCTGCTTTCATTTTGACAGTACATATTCTAGAGTAGTTTCTGTTTCTTGATATTTCTGACTTAGATCTAGAAGTTGATAACAAAGCGCTAAAACAGAAGATAGTTATATGCGTGACATAAAAATATAGGGTCATGGTACCACCAGAGCTCATGCGAAGTCTGTTAGACTGTTTAGGCTGCCATCACTGTGTCACTGTCACTGTATCACTGTCATCCTATTGTTCATTGATTTACTCGAGTGGGCGCCAGTAACGTCTCATTTGTCCCAGCTCTGAGATTTTATCAGCCTCTCCTTACTCATATTTCCCAATGCTGCTGTATTGGAAGCTCTCTCAGGATCAGGGGAATGAGGCCAGAAATGGGGCTGGAGTGATAGCACAGTGGGTAGGGCGTTTGCCTTGCACACGGCCGGCCCAGGTTCAATTCCCAGCATCCCATATGGTCCCCCAAGCACCACCAGGAGTAATTCCTGAGTGTAGATACAGGAGTAACTCCTGAGCATCACTGTGTGTGACCCCAAATAAAGCAAAAAATAAAAGAAAAGAAAAAACTCACTCTGATTATTAGGCTGCCATAACAAATATTATAATCTGAGCAGCTCGAACAATGAAAATTTGCTTTCTTGGAGTTCTGAAACCTAGATAGTTCCCGATGACTTGAAGGGCTCCTATTCTGGTGACACTTTTCTTTCTGACTTGCAAACTGCTGTCTTCTAACCATGTCTCCTCACAAGACCTGTGTCCTTGGTCCATGTGAAGGAGAAGTGATAGAAAAAACTCTTTTTATTCTTAAGGTTATCAATCCTTTAAAAATGTTTGCCATTTGTTTTTGTTGAAGATTCCCTACTTAACCCCTCATTTAATCCCAATGCCTGGGTCACACTTGGCCCCAGAGTATAGGGAGGAGAAGGGCAGAGAAAGAATGAAATTGAGTGGGTAAGAGGATAGACAGTAAAGAGTGGGGAGCAGCAGTCAAGGAGATTTGAGTACATTGGTGGTGTAAAGGAGTGATAGAGCAAAATATTCAAACCACTGAATCAAGGACACAGAAAAATGAGACCCAAACTTTTACAACCCAAATTAAGAGTGTGCCTGCCTGTCTTCCCATCTCATTATTTCAACATGATACTCTCCACATCCATCCATTTATAAGCAAATTTGATGACTTTATTTTTCCTTGAGGTTACAAAGTATTCCATTGCATAGATGTGCCATCGGTTGCTCTCATTCCTGGGATATAAAAAATAAATGGTATGAGACTAAAACACAAGGAGAGTAGAAATATAGACTAGGAGGACAGGTCCACTGTTGGAATCATACCAGAAGTGAGAGTGGTGGGTGGGCTGAGTGCAGTTAGGTTCAAGGGACCACTCTGACAATGATAGTTGGAAATTATCACTATGGACAAGAACTGAGTGTGAAAAGTAGGTAAAGAGATGTACATGATAACCGTTCAGTACCTGTATTGCAGACCACGATGCCCAGAAGTAAAGAGAGGATGGGGGAGAGGGAGGGAGCGAGAGAGAAAATACACCTGCCATTGAGTCAGTTTGGAGTGGGGAGCGAAGTTGGCAGGACGGAAACTGGGGACATTGATGGTGGGAAATGTACACTGGTGAAGGGAACGTTGTATGACTGAAGCCCAGTCGTGAATAATTTTGTAGCTGTACATCCAATTCAAAAATAAAAATGTGCCTGTCAAAGTGGTAGGCTGAGGTTGGCAGAGTAGGGGGCCTGGGAAGCAACCTGGAAACCCTGGTGGAGGGAAGAAGGCACTCGTGAGAGGATTTGTGCTGGAATACAGGATAACTAAATACCAACTATGAATACATTTGTAAAATCATGGGGTTTTGATAAAATTTCACACCAAGCTCTGTTTTAGTAAATGCGGTCATATATGGCACATTAGGACTTGAACATACATGCTTGTTTATTTTTTTGTGGGTGCAGGATTGAATGCATAGGACTCTGTTCCATTCTGGTTCACTAGTTCACGGCCTCTCATAGCCTGAGCTGTAACTATCTCCAGGCTGTTCTCATTGCTGCACTGATCTTGATGGCTCACAGAATCAACTCTTAAGATGGGCCTGGGAGAGATGCAAGGAAGATTCCTCATCAGATGAAACCCTCTCTTATGACTTGTTAAACCAGACAACCTCTGTGCTTCCAAAATGGAACAGGGGACAGAGTTGCCATTTACCTTCTGAGAGGAGCAGTAGTAAAGAAGGATGAGCCTGAAGCTAGTCCTCTGCCTCCTCAGACCAGTTCTGATGGATTTAAAAGCTCTTTGCCTTGATGCCTTTTAGTTCTGCTAGGGTGATGTCTTAGGACCTTTAAGACCCACTCAGATTGCAGTGACTTAGGTTTGGGGTGTTCTAGAGGAAACAGTTCCTGATCCTGGCCTCGTGATGGTTGCCTAGAATAGAAGAAAGACTTTCATTAAATGATTAAATAAATAGATGTCAAATTGCTTGCAGTGCACATGCTTTACAGAAAGGCACAGTATTCGGGAAGGATATCTAACAGAGAAAACCCAAACTACATAGAAACCCCTATGCTGCAGGCAGCTTCCTGGAGGCATGGACATGTGAGTTAGGGCTTTCAGAGTGAGTCTAATTTAAATTGTAGACTCTAAAGCTGGCAGGCAAGGTTAATGCTGGGCATGGAGGGATAGCAGGAGTAAAATTGGAGAGAAAACCAAAGGCAGGCATAGAGCAGACTAAACAAGGACACTTGGGACATCCTGGCATCTGATTCTTCCTCTAAGGAGCAAATGAAAATCATCCGAGGCTTTGTATCCTAAACATTCTCTTGTGATTAGATAAGCCGTTTCCAGTAAAATAATTTTTCTTTTTGCTTCTTTTGGGCGCCAACCCTGGTTATCTCAGGGATTACTCCTGACTCTGCACATAAGGTGATACCCATCCTGGTGATGCTTGGGGGGCAAGGATGCAGCTTAGTTTGTCCATTTTCTAGGGAAACGACTTACATACCATACTCTACTCCAGCCCATAATTTCTCTCTCCTTCAGACGTAGGTTTCTACATCGTAATGCATTTCTATTCATTTTGATCACCCCATACCAGTCTGTCTATTGCATTGATTTGCAATATTTTGATGAATCAATCACTTTGGATAATATGCTTTAGGAGGATCAGCTTAATGACATTTATATATCAATTAAAATTTGACTGTGTGTCTGTGTTAGTGAGAGCTAAGAAAAAAATCCATTTGTTTTTTCTATGTATTCTGTTATTTGGAGATTTTTTAATACTCAGTACAGATTTAGATCCAAAACTAATGTTTTGCAGAGCTGGTTCTTAACAGGTTGGGGGTTATAGAGCCCTTTGGAAATTGTAAGAAAGTCATGGACAATTTCTGGAGGAAAGTAATGAAGTTTTTTCTCATTAGATAAATATATAAAGTGAGAAACATTCTCAGGGCAATTGATTTACTATGGAGGATCAACCACACTAAGGCCCTTTTAGGGAAATAATGAATAATAGTTAGAACCTTTTAATTGTTGAATATTTCAAGTCAAAATGATCTCTCCTATGAGTTACTCTGAGAAGTTGGAGGCCTCAACTGAACATTTGCCCAAATGTTTTATTAGTTTTCTATTTCCCTTTGTTTTGCAGAACGTGCTTTGTTGTACCAGAGACTCCTTCTATAGCCCCCTAAACAGGGAGAATGAAGGCCGTCCATCTGCTAAATGTAAATCAGGTTCTTAAATGTTTCAGAGCAGATGTCATTGCTGCCATTCGCAAGCCTGGTATACAGAATGCACGTGTCTATATTTCTATAATCAAAAGCTTGTAAGCCATTTTCAAACTTTGGCTTATTCTTTGTGGATAACTATGGACCTGCCTTTGAAGCACAGGGCGGGGTGGAGGTTTGTTATGCTTGAATGATAGAGATGAGTCAACTCCCTGCTTATATAAAAGTCTTTCAATATCACCTGCCAACAAAATTTGACCCTCAAAGATTAAGCTACCTGAATCAGCTTATCGTGTTAGCACATCTCAATGTTTCACTGAAAGTTTCCTTTGTGTCTTCTCAAAATCATAACAACAGCATTGTCTATTAGAACACTGTTATTGTGAAAGTTTATCCAAGTCAATACTATGACAGGCATTAATCTCTCACAAAAAGTATTCACACATCCAACAATCCATATTTTTAAGTTAATGGGTCACCCCCATGTGGTCAAGGCTGACTCTGAGCTCAGGAGTCACTCCCATTGGTGTTTAGGGACCAATGTCATCCTGGGAATCAAACTTGAGTTTTCCACTTAAAATGCAAGTGCTCTACCCACTGTAATATTTGGCTCTAGTTATTTTTTTTTATCAGTGAGACACCATGAAGTACAGTTGTAGACTTACAAATTTTTGTGCTTGGGTTTCGGTTATACAATGATCAAATTCCCATCTCTCCACCAGTGCCCATTTCCGACCACCACAGATCCTAGTTATTAATTTTTGATTTCTTAGAAAGCTCATAATTATAAATACTCCATAAATACTGTAATTCTTTCAGTGTCTCCTTATACTAAATTACTTATAATCTAGTAAAAAAATTGATGAAGTTGGAGAGGTAGTATAGTGGTTTTGAAATGTGCTTTGCATGAGGCTTACTCATCTTTGATCCCCAGCATCAAATAGAGTCCACTGAGCCCCACCAGGAGTGCATCGCTGAGCATACAGCTCTGAGTAAGATCTTAAGCACCTCTGGATATGCCCCCCCCAAATAAAAATAAATATAAAATTGTATCATTCTATACTTTTGAAAACAGTTCACAGACTGGGAGTAATCTTTTAGGTAGTAAGTATGAAACTGTGGTAATCAATAATCCATTTTGAAAGAGTACTGAAATATAATTTGTATTTGAGTTCATGTTCTACATCCATCAAATACGTTGAGTAGCATTATCAGTGGAAGTGACAGTATTAGTATATATTTAGAATAGCACTTCTGTGTTTTGAGCCAGATATGCAACTTTCAATTTACAAAACCCATTATTTTACAAAGTGAAAAGATATAGTAAATTGTGAAATTTAATAACTCCTGGTACATATTAGCTTCAATTGCAAGAAATATGAGTGCAAGATATAATCATCCTTTTGAAACAGACTTCATGCACAGAAATTTTAGTCTTTTTATTTATTAAGAGCAGCCTAAATCAAGTTGCATGTATTTACCTGTGACTCGGGTTTGCTATCCTGGGCAGACCATGCAGAGTGTGTGGTTTCATATAATACTGGAGTACTAATGAGAGTGAAAAGTGGCTGTTACCTGTGTTAGAGTAAAAAGCAGAACAGCCATCTGAATGAAGAGAATAGTATTTACATGTTTGATAAAAAGTCATGGGCCAAAAACATATTTCTAACTTAATAATTTTATTGAGAAGGCGTTAACAAATATATGTGGTCTATATCCCACACAAGTGAATCTAAAAGAAAAGAGTGTTCATTGTTTGAGCTCCCAATTTGAAGTCTAAGCACACGTTTTTGAGATTAAGAGATGTTTCCAGAAACATCCATGTTCAGCACATGGAAAGCACTTGAGGTCATTCATCGTTTAAGATAAAACATTTTCCAACTGAAAATATTCATGCAATTCATGCTTTCAGATGTGTCCATCTGAAGTTTAAAAATAGTTATAGATGATAATATCAATTGAACAAAGAACCAAGGTATTAAAGAATTGATGTGTGCTAGAGCCTTGCCCAAACTGTCATCAATGCTTTTGTAAAACCAGTTTCTTGATGAGGGCACCGAGTTAAGCATGCATTATTATCCCTCTTAGCATCCTTCTTAACACCCCCAAAATGTGCTGTACACAAATTGAAATGTTGTTTAATACTCTGCTGGTATAGGATGAAGTCGACAGGCTGTCTGCTCTTCAGCCACAAATTGAGCGATTAAAAAACCAAAGCATCACCCTGAAAGAGAAAGGTCAAGGGCCAATGTTCCTGGATGCAGACTTTGTGGCCTTTACAAATCATTTTAACCAAGTCCTTGCTGATGTGCGGGCCAGAGAGAAAGAACTACAGACAAGTAAGTAAAAATACTTAAAATGACTAACTTGATATTTTTAAAATTATTTACTGGGAAGAGCAAATGTGCAGAGATGAAAGAATCTTTTCTGTTAGTACTTTCTAGGGAACTCCCTTCCCCACATCCTGTGGTAATAAATAAGGAAATACTGTTGTTAGAAAGTGTATATGTTATATTTCCATTCTCCCACCCCATAATAATTTTATGATGCTGAGGTACAAATAAAGCATATGTTCTATATAGGCACTGCTTCTCCTTGCTGGCTTGCAGATTTCACTGTGCAAAGTTTTGAATATTGAAGGGAATATAAGAGCACAGTTTGTTCAATGTAAGCAAATACTGGGCCAAAGATCTTACTAGTACTCCTATATCAGTTTATCTTATCAAACCATAATGTACATGTTGCAAGTAAAACTTTAGCAAAAGAAAAACTATTCCTTGGGCTGAATTTTACTGTTTCATGGCTATAGCTACATAATAACCACCCATTCGATTATATATTGAAGTGGTAAAATATATATAAATATGTACCTTGTGATTTGGAAATTTTTCAAGGTGTCTCATTGTCGCTCACCAATTTGATACGTAGACTCAGATATTCCTAATGCAAGCTTATTCATTTTTATCATAGAATTTCTTTGACAATATTTAACTATAGCTAATAAGTCTAATGAGTCTTTGGCTCACTATATATATGTGCATTTGCATAGATGTACATAGAAAGGATTATAATATAAAATGCACTTTAGGGGGCTGGAGCAATAGCACAGCAGGTAGGGCGTTTGCCTTGTACGTGGCTGACCCGGGTTCGATTTCCAGCATCCCATATGGTCCCCTGAGCACCGACAGGAGTGATTCCTGAGTGCAAAGCCAGGAGTAACCCCTGAGCATCGCCAGGTGTGACCCCAAAAGAAAAAAAAATGCACTTTAAATGATTAAGATAAAATTTTTTAAAATATTATGGTTTTAAATGTAAATTGTTATAACAAGCACAAAATATGTAACTTGTTTCCTACTGAAACTTGAATTTATTGGAAAAACACATTTTTATTGCTTTTCTTTTAAAATTTGCAAAGCATTTTACCACGTAATAACGTTTCTGGAATCAGAAATATGTTTCGTGATAGAGTTGATGATTTCCTCATGTTCCTCATTTTCAATTTATTTATAGTTATGTTATAGGACAAACTGAATAAAGCCAGAGATAAAGGCATAGTTCTTTTCATTCACTTCAAAGTCATTTTTTCTAAAAGGTTTATTTTCCTAGCAGGAATCTCATCATTCAACTTTATAGTAATGTCAGCGCCCTCTAGTGGATTGAAATGTATTTGTTGCTGGACTTTCATAAAATCATTCCGGAATAAGATTCTTAATGTCCTTCTATATCGAGCATTGACCTTTAACAGCCATGCATCTTTTACTTATCAAAAAATCCATTATCTTTTGTTAAAATCAATTTCAATGTAATTTTATTCTATAACTGGTAGGTAGAAAACTAATTCACTGGATATTTATTTAAAATGTTTATTGATTTATCATTGGTTAAAAATATTATAAAATTCCAGGGATATATTTTTATCCATCTGTATAAGACTAATTTCATTCTTCCGCTATCGATGAGTCATAATGAATATTCAATGATCACTGAAATTCATGTGATATGTACAAGTATGGACTAATATAAACTATTGATAGTTGTCTAACCTTGTGTGCAATCTTGCCTTTTTAAAATCCATATCATACACAAAAATCACCTCGAAATAACTTAAACCCTTAAACGAAAACCCAAAAGTATAAAACCCCTAGAATAAAATAGAGGAACAGCTTCCTGATATTGCTATTGACAGTTGTTTCTTGGATATGACAGTTGAATATGACAGTGTCTGGTGGTACACCCCCGTGAATGGTGGTACAGACCATGGGTAAATGTACAGCCCAGTGTGTGTTGGTATAGCCGAGGGTTGATGATACAACACTATGTGTGTTGTTATAGGCCCCAGTTTATGGTACAGTCTAGTGTGGTGGTACACCCCAGGGGTGGTACAACCCTATATGAGGTGGTACAACCCTATGTGTGGTGGAACAGCCCTCAGTTGGTGGTACAGTCCTGTGACTAGTGTTAAAGCACATGGTGATCGTACAGCCCCATTTCAGATGGTACATTCTCTTGTGTACGGATATGTCAAAAGCATAGAAAACAGAAGTTAAAAGAAACTCTATAATTGTGAAAAACTCTAAGTCAAGGACATAATTGAATGAGTAAATGGCCATTTTTAGGATGATAAAGGATATTTGTAAAACATTTGTCTTATGAGAGATTAAACCCAACATATATAAGGTACTTCCTGTAATCAATAGCAAGAAAATAATCAGATTGAAATAAAAGTTCTGGCAATTACTCAGGTCTCAAAAAGAAAGATATTCAACACTGATGATTGATATAGAACATTGCTATCAAGAAAAGATACACAACAGACAATTATGAGAGAAACACATTTAAGACCTGAGTGAAATGTAGTAAAAGATAAGGGTCCGCATTGTTTTTCTATTTGTGTATGTTGTAATTTCAGGGCACCGTTTACTCTTTATTCCTTTCTATTATTTTGATTTTTCTTTTTTTCTTCTTTGCACCTTCTTAGGGATCAACTGACTATCTCATTTATTTGAAGTTTATTTCCTGGCACTAGCTTGTTCATTTGGCTTTGGTTCATATGTCTGTGTTTATGCCAGTACCATGAGAATTTAATTATCTTAGATTTAAATCTAGCTTGAAATAAGGATGCATGATACCTCTACCTCCAGCTCTTTATTTTTTTTCAAGACTGTCTTGGTGATTTGTGCTGTTTTATTGTTTCATATTGGGTGTTTATTGTTGTTATTGTTTACTGTTTAAGAATTGCCATTGTTATTGGTGTAGGAATCAATATCTTAAAAGTCTGGAGCGTCACTCTTGCTCACTTATTCACTAGTCCAAGAAATAGTTTTGGATACATTCTAGCTACCAAGGAAGTACTGGACACTAGATTCTTGGTGCAGATAATTAAGAGCAATATTCACATTCTCTTGGAGCATACAGAAAGAAATATAATAGAAGCATCTCTAATTGTATTATGACATATCATAGCAAGTCAGAAATTATTATTCAGGGGAGATGTAATTTGAGTCAAACCTGCAGGATGTCCAGCTACCTACTGTACTTGACTTGAAGGCTGGACATCAGAAGAACAGAAGCAAGCACAGATGTCCCAAGTCAGAGACAGACTTGATCAGACAGAGTCCTGAGAGGCTAGAAGTGGGAAACTAGTGTGCAGACTGGAATAAAGGACTTGGCATTCACAAAGACCTCAATAGTCTCCTAGGCCCCAGTGATAATTCCTTTTAAAAGCAGTTGAATTTCTTCAAAGAATTTAAATTGGGCAAATTAAACCATCTGATTTGCATTGTTGAAAGATTGAAGCAGTATGTTAGCCTGTGGCTGGTTTATGAGGAACAAAAGGAATTTTGGTCTGAGAGGAAGTAGGAAGACAGAGACTATTGTAGCCCTTAGGCAAGTGACCATATCACTTTGGACTGGGGTGGTGATAGGGTAAAAAGAATAGTCCAGATACTCCTAAGTGAAGGAGTAATCATATAGGGAGGTATGGCCTGGAATAGTCTTTTTATCTTACTTTAAAAATTTTGAAAGTGCAGGGGCTAGCTGGAGCAATAGCACAGCAGGTAGGGTGTTTGCCTTGCATGCGGCCGACCCGGTTTGATTTCCAGCAGTCCCCCGAGCACTGCGAGGAGTAATTCCTGAGTGCATAAACCAGGAGTAAGCCCTGAGCATTGCCAGGTGTGACCCAAAAAGCAAAAAAAAAAAGTTTTGAAACTCCAGTATCTTATAAAGGTCCAGGATAGAGTTTGAGGCATACAATGTTCCAACACTAATAATACCACCAGTGTCAACTTCCCACTACCAGTGACCCCAGATAATTCCCCAGCCACCAGCCACCAAAATTATTAGGACTAACATTTGCTTTCTGTAGAAAGAAATAATAGAAGAATCTGAAAATGTGATCTTTATAACCCTAATTTCAAGCTCTGTGGTTAGTTTCTTATATAACCCTAAGAAGTTGAAAGAGTCAAAAGGGAAATAAAGGCTGAATTGAACTTGCTCCATCGCGGGTCACACAAGTGACACAATTTACTTTTATTTCAAAGTAAAAGATTATTCGATTCTAGGAATGTTAACCTTGTATTGCTATGCTTTGTAACTCCGGGGAAAAATAATTAAGAAGAATCTGATAGATTCTTCTTTTCTTTTTCCATTTCCTTTTCTTCATTGGTACCCGTGGTGGTAAGAATGTTGGATTTTTCTTTAAATTGGCTACGTATGTCATACTGTGAAATGCAACCCCTGCTACTCACCCATAAGATTCTTGGGCACATACATTCCAAGTAATCACACACCGTAAAAAATGTTTTTTTTTTAATTTTTTTTTTATTTTTTATTAGTGAAACACCATGAGGTACAGTTGTAGATTTACAAATTTTTGTGCTTGGATCTCGGTCACACCATGCTCAAACACCCATCCCTCCACCAGTGCCCATCTTCTACCACCAGGATAATATCCCTCCCCCCCATCCCCCCCCCGCCACTGTGGCAGGGCATTCCCCTTTGTTCTCTCTCTCCTTTTGGGTGTTGTGATCAGCAAAAGAGGCTTTGAGTGGCAAACATGTTCAGTCCAGTCTACTTTCAACCTGCATCTCCCCTCCTGGGAGGATCCTCCAAACACCCTCCATTTGGTGCTCCCTTCTCTATCTGAACTGTCCCCTCCCCTAGAATACCCGGCTGGCCTCTAGGCTATGGAGTAATCCTCCTGGTGTTGATCTCAGCTATTCTTGGATATTAATCTCATATTTTGTTATTTTATATCCCCCAGATGAATTCAATCTTTCTATGTCTATCCCTCTCTTTCTGACTCATTTCGCTTAGCATGATACTTTCCATATTGTACCAC